AATTATATACACATAATATAAAAATAAATTAAATTAATTATATTTATATTATATTTTTAATAATTAAACCAAAAATATTATACCAATAAGCGTACCCATCATTTGCCTTCATCTCATATATTTAGAGACTAGCTATGTAGTTGCGCACGGTCCGTGAAAACTGAACGGACGCAATACGCCCAAATACCCACAAAATTAGAAGGTAATCTTTTTTTTTTTTTTTTAGAAGGGTAATGCTTAGTAGTTAGTATGTTAGAGGTGTTAGTGTATAAGGAGTAATTGAATCCGAGATATGAAATGTAAATCACGAACTGCCCCAAATGGCAACAAGTGACCACTGGAGCACGCATATGGAATGCAGGTAATCTATTTTTTTTATGAATGCAAAGGAATCTTTTTTTTTTTTTTTAAATGACATAATGACAAAATACCACAAAGGGATCTTTTTTTTTTTTAAATGAATGCAAAGGATCTAATTAATTAAGCCTAGTACATTTCAACAATTTTAATTTAAATATATAAAGAAAACAAAACTAATGCACGTAACAGGTATGGTTAAAGTATTACTTGCAAGGTTTTCAGCTTGATTATAATTCTTTTTGTATTAATATGTGATTATGATAAAATTATTAACTATATCTTCAAGTAATTAACTACTTTGATTCCTCCCATCAACAAAGATTAATAACTTTGATTAATTGAAACTTGAAACTATATGTATTAAATACATAAAAAAGTTGATATAAAAAAGTTGTTTTTATAATACCCCCATTTAAAAAGAAAATAATTTTAAGACAATCTTTTTGTATTATCTTTTGAGACAATCTTTTTGTATCGACTTTTGAGATAACTTTTTTGTATCACATTTTGGGATATCCTTTATGTACAACCTAACGTGTTATTTAAATGATTGATTTTTTTTATTCATGTGAAAGTTATGGTATTAAATATATCTACTCATTTAATAATATATAAAAATTGTATCAAAAGTTGATATAAAAAGATTATTTCTGTAGCACACTCTTATTTAAAACATACTTGTAAGAATTAATATCTTATAAAATTTTTAGTCTCGATGTAAATGATTTATTTTTTATTAAATTAAAAATATAAACTTAATATAGTATGTGAAAATTAATTTATATATATTATGGAGAATTTTGTCTAATTTATTTTATACGAAGTATACTATTTTTAACTATTTATAATTAAAAAAGTGAATTCTTACTATTAGAAATTTGCTCCCCTAGATGATAGTTAAACAATGCACTTACTATATATATCACCTAATCTCTATTAAAAAAATATTAACAAGTCCGTATCTACGCATTCCTAGTGGCAAACTAGTGGCTGTAAAATAAAGAGAGAAAAAAAGTATAAATAAGGAAGTTAATTTTATATTTTTTTTATTTAAAAATATTAATTTTATTAATTTTTACATAAGAATATCAATTTTTAATGAGTAATGATAGGAGAGATGATTTTGGGGACGAAAACGGAGGACGACAAGTGAAGCAGAGTCAAATTACAGGATACAAAATTATTAATTTGACCTTGTTTCACTTGTCGTCCTCCGTTTTCGTCTTCTAAAATCGTTCCCCCTATCATTACTTATTTTTAATTTTTTTATTTAAAAATGTTAATTTTTATTTTTTTTATTTAAAGATGTCAATTTTCAATGTTTAGATATATTTATCACGTTAGCATTATCATATAATTAATTTTTCAATAAAAAAACTTAAAAATTGATAT